CAAGAGGGCAGCTTCTCCGTGACGCCCCTCCCTGCCAGCCGTCCATCCGCTGCAGTGCCAGCAGTCTAAGTGCAGGGGACAGCCCAGCCTCAGCGGCCCACAGCAGCCCCCGGGTCAGGAGAGCGGCTGCGACGCGGCCCCCTCGCGTCTGTTTGCCGGCTGGCGCCACCCACCGGCCAGCATACTGACCCTCACTGCTCCCGGCTCTGGGCGGTTCCCACAGGGGCCTGGGCATCTTTGCTGGGGTGCAGGGACAGTTTCTCACCCCGAAAGGAAGTCCCGTTCCCATCATCAGTCAGCCCCATCCCAGTCGTAGCAACCACAACCCCACTTTCTTTTCTTTTTAATATTTGTTTATTGAAGAAAAACTGGGGTGTAGGCAAGAGGGGGGGGCTTGAGAGGGTGGGGAGCAGAACAGTCAAATCTACTAAACTACCCTGCCGAGGGTGCAGCCGGGAGACAGGAGAGGGCTGCTGCGCCCTGTGGGTCCCTCCCTGGCTGGGGGTGGAACTCAGGCCACAGGGAGGCCCCGCAAACCTTTCTATGTGTTTCTGAACATTTGGCAGCAACGAAATCACACGTGATGTGGCCATGAACGCCTGGCTTCTCTCTCTGAGCATGTGTGCAGAGTCGCTCCCCAAGGCGGCCGGTGTCGCAGCTGCCCCCTCCCATAGCCAAGGGACGCCCCCAGGGGTGGGTGAACTCAGTGTTTATCCATTCATCTGTGTTTGGATATTTGAGCTGTTTTGCTTTCTGCCATTGTGAAATGTACGGGCAGGTACCTGTACATTTTCTGTGGATTGTGAATGGTACCATTTACATAATTTCTCTATATCTTCAGCAGGGTTTGCGATGGTCTATTGTTTTTCATCAGCTCCATCCTAGTGGGCATGAAATGGTTAATACTAGTGCGGTAAGAGCAGAGTGCCTGGGCCCACATCCTCTGCACACCCTGTCCCCAACAACAGGATGCAATGGGACCACTGAGCCTGGCATGAGCAAAATTTGAGACACCAGAGGAGGGTTTTGGTTTTGAAAATGTGCCAGTCAGATTTGAACCTCTCCAGCATCATTCAGAAACAGGGGAGCTTGCCCATCTCCCCTGGTGCAGTTTATTTATTTTTTTTTTTTTAAGATTTATGTATGCATTCAGAGCTGGGGTACAGGCCAGAGGTGCCGGGGCAGGGGTGAGAGGATTCACCAGAGAGAGAGAGTGGGGAGCAGAACAGGCCGATCTAAGAAGCACACTGCTGAGGGGAGCAGCGGGGAGACAGGAGGGGTCTGCTGTGCCCTGGGGGTCACTCCCTGGCCAGGGACTGAACTCGTGCTGCTGTGGCTGTGGACAGCTTCTTAGTACTGTGACTTAACCCCTGGACCAGCAGGGATGCCCGGATTAGCCATTTCTAAGAGCAGTCCACGGTCTCTGACACCATCTCCTGAGCGCTGTCCTTGCCTGCTGCATTTCTGCTACCCCTTCCTGGTGCTATTGTGTCCGCTGCTGCCCAGTCCAGCCTTCCAGTTGCTGCTGCACTACTGCAGTGCTGCCGCCTCAGTAGTTCCACCTGTGTCTACCTCCAGCTGCCACCATGAGCTGGATCCTGGCCCACCTTACGGGTACACCATCAGCTGCAGGCTCTCGACCAAGTGACAGTGCCATGCTGCACTAGCTTTTGATTTAGACTTCTGGGCACTGCAGACAGGAACTATCTGCGGTCGGACAGCTGGCTAGTGTGAACATAGGAATTCTTTCCTTCTCCCCAATTTTCTTTTGTTCATAAATCCTGTTACTGTCACAATGAATCCGAGTGGTGCCCTGCAGTTGCAATCTCACAGGAGAAGGCTGCCAGCTTTGCATTTCAGTATCACAATTCTTTTATCCTCATATCAAGAACTATACAATTTCAACATGCAATTGTCATCAATTGTATGTATGTCCTTTACATATGTGCATACATAATTTACACACATTTACATTTTACATATAAGTTCTAAGCTGAGTCTTAAAAATCCAGAATAATTTACAATTACAGCACATCACATCCTGAGAACTTAATAGACACTGTGGCCAGTGGCTACCACATTGAACAGCTCTCAATGCTGAGGACATAGCTGTGACCAAGAAAGACCCAGCAACAGCCCCAGAAAACTCTCAGACTAATTAATGGATACAGAAGAAAAACAGACCCAAAGCTAGAGATGATTTTTCATGTTGACAAGTTTGGAAAGGGGCCATATTTAAGGGAATGACCAGGAGGGTTTTGAGAGAAGGTAATGTTTGATTTCACTTTCAGGACCTCTTTCTGAAATGCTCACCAAATAGTACACAAGTGTTTTCCATGTGTACTGCACATCAGGACAGGGGTGGGTTCTTTAAAGAAGAGTGGAATGCACAGTGCCAAAATGACCAACCCCCCCCCGTCAACCCTCCCCCCCCAAATTCTAAGACGTTTGGGTGTAAGACAAAAAAATAGAAGACATGAAAAAGAATTTGGGCAGCATTTCTTTATCTTCTATGCATGAAGCCATCTGTGCCATATTGTCTCCATTGACAATTAAGGTTTTTCCATACAAAATGTCCACACAAAAATATGTACATGCATGCTTCACAAAAATTATAAACAACTTGGCGCCTCCTTGGTGGTGCAAGGGGCGAAGAATTAGCACTATTATGGTGTCTGCAGCCATTACAGCACAAGTTGAATCCCCGGCCAGGAGCTGACAGGACACAGCAGACCTCTCCTGTCTGGTCCACTGCTCCCCTCAGCAGTGTATTTCAGTAGATTCACCTGTTCTGCTCCCCACTCTGTCTCTAGTGAATTCTTCCACTGCCCCTACCTCCAACCCCTTTGGCCTACACTCCAACTCTTGTATGCATAAATAAATGAATAGAGCAACTCAAAACATCCACAAGTGGATGAAAAGTATAAGCACAATGTGTCCATCTATACCCTGGAACATCATTCGACCATAAAAGGGTTTTTCACTCCAGATTTGACTTTATTTCTTTAATAGATATGACTATTCATATGACCAATTTCTTCTTGAATAAGTTTTCACTTTAATACCTTTCAAGGTGTGGGTGAATGTCAGCTGAGATGTTGAACATGGGCATGAAGTTGTTCCTAATGTAAAATTCTTTTAATAGCTGTTGGATCTGTAGTGTTATCCCTTCCTTCATTCTTGGTTTTGGTAATCTTTTTTCTTAGTCAATCAGACTAGAATTTTATTTTTGAAATTGTTTCAAAGAACAATCTTTTTTTTTTTAAGATTTATTTATTTATACAGAGAATTGGGGTACAGGACAGAGGTGTGGGGAGTGAGCAGATTCACCAGAGATAGAGTGGGGAGCAGAAGAGGCAGATGGGCTGAAATACACTGCCAAGGGGAGCAGCAGGTGGGTGAGGAGAGGTCTACCCTGTCATGTGGGTCACCCCCAGGCCAGGATCACACTCATGCTGGAGGGGCTGTGATAGCTTCATAGTGCTGCACTTTAACCTTTACACCACTAGGTTGGGCCCAAAGAACAATCTTTTTGTTTCAGTGATGTTCCCTATTCTTTATTTTATTATAAATCATAAAGATTTGCTCTGATCTTTATGACCTCCTTTTCAAAAGAAATATGGGATAATCCATATGCTTTGATGAAGACTTGCTGGCATGGCCCCCTTCTTGAGTTCACTTGAGAATCTGATACAGATCACAGAAAATGCACAAGGGCACACTCAGTTTTCTAAGTTGTCTTAGGAAATTCACAGATCTTGGGATCAAAACCCCCAGATGGAGCACAAATCAGATTGTGTCAGGTTCCAAAGTCTCCACATCTTGGTTATTGTGACTCAGGGCCTCACATAAGACAAGCAGTTTGAAAAAACGAATGTCAAAAAGGTAGGAAACAGGGGCCTGGTCCAATAGAGGTATTTGCAACTTGTGAAATACAACAAAATACAACTTGTCCAATGGTATTTTGCTAACTCCTTTTGTGTTTTACCAAAAACACTTTGCTGGGATCATGCCAGCTCTGTCTGAGGTTTTGACTGCGAGTTCCTTTAGGGTAGAGAGTCGGAAAACTTAATGAAGGCTTTTTGCTTTGAATTGGCCACTTTAACTACTTTTTGACCTTTGACCTCACATCAAAGGCAGTCCTGGGAATCTTGGCAGCCCCTACTCCCTCCCAAGTTCCCAATCTGCGACCCAGGCTCACGAAGACTGCTCCCAAACGGCGACTGTTCTGAGAAGGCAGTTGGCGCTCGCGACCCCCAACCCTGGTCCCCAGCTCCAGAAGTGGGGTACAACGCGACTTCGCCTCCCCACGCTCGCTCCCCGCCCCCTTCCCCAGACCGGCGCCTCCAGTGACCAATGAGCGAATCGTATTTACCCAGGAGGCGGGGCCTAGAGTAAACCAATCCTTGCTCGGGCGCCTGCCCAAACGGCCCAATAAGCAGCGGCAGTGGGGCGGGTCGCGGGGCGGGGCAGTCCAATGCAGCCAACGGGTGGACACGTCCGCGCCGCGAGGGGCGTGGCCGCGGCGGGGCGTGCGACGGCGCGTGTCCGCCTTTCCGTGTCCGCTTCAGCTGGACGTTGAAAGCCGGAACCTGCATCTACGTAAGGGCCTCCGACGTGGGGGCGCTCCCCTC